AACAGTAACACTGACGATGTGTTTATTAAAAAATTAATTTAAGGATCAAAATGAAAAGAAACTGTAAATTGATGATTAGTGATATAATTTACCCAATAAAATTTAGTTAAGCACAGCCATGAACGGCTTCGATTGTCTATCAAACTCGTACCGCCAAGTTGTTTGAAGTTTGTGAGCCATGTAGGTTGTCTGGTACTCTTTTATAACTATTATTATTATCAACAATATTATCTACTTATTATGATTATTTAATATATTGCTATGTGTCTAAAATATTTTCAATCATTTGACAATGAACGTTCAAATATCATATAGCCGTTGATGCTCAAACCCGAAACTTTTATAAATAACAACTATTCATTTAACCATTCAAATAATTAGATTCACGTGTCTTTACTCGTTTTTTAAACATGAAATATTAATTTCTTAATAGTAATATAGTTATCTTTATGCTTGGTACTATTATTTTCACTTGATTATGGGCAAATTTACTTCTCAGGGAATTTCACTAAACATTAAATTCTCTTTTCAATTAAGTTCTTCTTTCGGCCGAAAATATTTTACACGTCGACCGGGATATTATTAATTGTTAAAATTTAAATGTGAAACAAGTACAAGTTCTTTTTTTTCTTCTAATTTCACCCAAATATATTTTAAATAAAATGTTTGGTAGCGAGGAAAGTGACCTCTCCTTAACAACAAGTTTTAGCATCGAACTAGAATATTATTGGCCAAGTAATCCACTTTCGGTTTAACCAGTTGTGAAAAAAGTCGTGGAAAGTCAAATTTTACAATAATATCTACGTATGAATGATTTTGTGTCGGGCACCATATGCGTGATGTATGTAAGACACATTTAATAAATATAATGATTTCTGCACAATTTCTATAATAGATGATTAATGGTTTTCGGTTGATTTTTTTTCTTTTTTTTTTAAAGTGTGGGTTTAATATTCATTAACCATAAAATTCCTCCTCCCCTCATATAGAAATTATTTAAAATAAATAAACAAATACAAATATCATACAAGAAAAAAGTTATGAAAACTTAACTAAATAAACTTGAATAAAAGATAGATACAAATATATTTGATAGCTTTTTGATAAATGAACCACAAAAGAGATAGCGTTGTTAGAATATCACTGATGAACCTCAAATCAGAATCGAATGATGTGAGAAAGTTATCTGCAAACGCAAAATGCATTTATAAATCCAATTCGGAGGTCCAAAGTAGGGAATATCAAATTCAACATTGAAAAAAAAGATAAAATAAAAGTCAAACGATCGAAAACATGTTAGAAATATAAAATTATTAAAAAATAAAACATAAGAAAATAATAAAGATATGAATAAAATTAAAAATAATAATAATGATTATCCACTATTAGCAACTAGTACTAAAGTTTGTGCATAAAGATAAAAAAAAAGAGAATAACGATGATAAAGGGGGAAATTAGGGTCGAAAACCCTGTAATTTATTTTATCTTAGAAGGAGACGATGATTTGCCTTCTCGGATTTTCTCTTTAAAATTAAAGCTTTTTTTTTTCAAGTAGGTTTTCTAAAGCATTGAGAAGAAATTGAAAGCAACATTCAATTTTACTTCTTCATTTTTTTATGAAAAATAAATAAATTTTTAAAAGCTTTTCTCGTCTTCCTTACCCAGTAAAAGAGCTACGACCAGAAGGCTAGGGACGGGAACTTCCTTCCATTTTCAGAAACACCATGTTGTTATTTTGTAAGAAAATGTTTAAGAATATGGGCCATAAGGATCAGACAAAACTGGGTTTAGTTGAGGTTGCCATATAAATTTTAGCAGAGCAATTTTTGGTAGACAAAACCGGGTTTGCCCTAATTCCCATGATTATTGTATAACTCTTTCTAAAATTAATTTGAGTACATTTTAGAAAAATGTTTTTGAAGTGTTTTTCACAGCTGCTAAACTTTGACTGGTAATAATAAAAAATCATACAAAAATGGAATACATTACTTTCCTCAATCATTAACATTTGTTTTTCAATTGCTTATGAAGTACGTCTACAATTCAACTTAGAAATATATGAACTTTTGCTGCTTTGGTAGTTGGGAGTGGTAGAGAAATGAAGCAATCACATGATTCCTTCTTAAGGACAAAGTTATATATTTGTATAGTATTAGTTTATTTGAGTTTTCTTTCAAGTTTCTTTCTCTCCCTCCTTTTTTTAACATTCACTTCCTAATATTTTTTTTTACTTTACTTTCATAATCTATTGGGAATCAAAAAGGAGAAAATCATGATATCTTAAAAAAAATGTATATCATGATTTCTTAATTTCCAAAGTTATCTCCTTTGGTCATATTGTATTAAAAATCTTTAATATTTATACCATAATCTGGTTATTTATATTTTTTTATTGAAATGTTTACTTCATCACAGGCATACCTAAGACTCAATTGGGATTTACATAGGACTTTACATATTGCCCACCAAGAGTGAAGGTAGTGAGATTTAAACTTGGCCTTACAAGCTCAAATTCTTGAATCTCAACCACGTGTGCCAACACTCGTTGGCTGAGTATCAATTTATTATTAATCACTTAACCATATTAATTATATTATATACATTTTTAAAGGTCTCATGGAGTAAAATATAAATCACGTTTAATTGTGTCGTCTTTCTCTTTCTTTTTAATTTTGTTTAGTTGACGGCGGCAACACTAATCTTAATGTTGGTTGTCGATCGAGAATGATTATTAATTCTCTTGTTTTTTCATTATGTCAATTTTTTTTCAATTTTGAATAAGAATATATATCTTTATGACATATTTTTCTATGCTCCTATGACATGTTCTTTATGATTTTTTTGTATATTTATTTGCATGCCTTTGCAGTCATTTTAGTGCTCGCACAATGACCCTCATGATATTTGTCTTTTGATTAGTTTGTCATTGGTCACGTATAATTCGATCCCCTTATTTGGTAAAATGTTGTTTGCCTATATAATCAGAATTGTGTCACGAAGCAATCTGTCAAATAGTTTAGTTTGTTCATCATTCCTTTACCACTTCATAAAACATCTCGTTCGACATAGATAATAAGTTTTTACAAAAGTTATTGGATTTTTTTATTAAATAAATTTTACTAGAAAAGATAAACAGTTGAAAATAATTGGTATAGAAAAAGAGTGAAAAGCAACCATCAGTCCACAACCAACTTGCCATCATACACCAATATTCATTATAAGGCAGGTCGATAAGCAATGACAGATGAAATTTCCACAAGCGTATATTTCTTACAACAATCACAAGTACATGCGTTTAATTTTGGTTGGTGGCAACTGTCTTATATTTATTTATCCTACAAAAATCCACTAGAAAATTGAGAGAAAAACATTAAAAGAAGCACCCTGTGAGATTAAGGATCTAAGCAACTGGTTTTAATCTCCTTGTTACATTTTCATTCTCCATTATTGTAGTAATTAATTTTGTCATCATTGGTTTTTTCACAAAACTAATTTAATTATCTATCCAAATGCACTATACCCTAAACATTATTGTCAACCGTGACAAAACCAAACATAGTATGAGTTAGGAGATCAATTATCAAAAAAATAATAGTAAAACTGTTATATATATTTTACCATTATATTAAAATTGTTACATCCACAATACAAAATTATAAAAGGTTTGTTAACTCTTGTCTCTTGTAAACTGATTGACATTAGAAATTGCATTTGATGTACGAAACTTCATAGCTTCAACTGTTCCACGTAAGAACATATAACCTCATCCATTAGATCTTGTATGTCTGTACATGATCTCAGGAAACAAATGTAAATTTTTTTATCTATATTTTTAATAAAATGAAATTACATTAGAATAAATTAGTCAAAATTTCAAATTCCCGGAGGAAATTATTATGTATTGTATCAAAAACAACGAAACCGACCCACTTTGGAATGGGGAAAAATCAAGAGTTTTGTTCCCGGACAGGGAGATCCTTTATCCCCTTATCTCTTCATTGTAGTCATGGAAAGTCTTTCTCATATGATAATGGACATTGGAAAGTTGTGAAGTTATCAAGAGTTGGTACTAACTTAAGTCACCTTGTCATTGCAGATGACGTACTTTTATTTTTGGAAGCTAAGGTCGATCAAGTGATCAAAGTCGGAGACTGTTTGAAAAGTTTCAGCAGAGCCTCGGGTCTTACAATCAACTTACAAAAATCTAAGATGTTCACCTCTTCGAATATAACAAACGAGTCAGCAAACTACCTGAGCAGCCTATGCGGAATACCTTTAACGACCGATCTCGGGACCTACTTGGGAGTATCAATCATTATAAAAGAGTCAACATGAACACGTATGCACCGTTTATGGAAAAAGTTACGAAGAAACTAAGAGGCTGGAAAGGAAAAATATTGTCCTTGGCCGGCCATAGAACCCTCTTCAATCTGTTACAACAGCGATTCCAATATACTCGATGCAGACCGCTCTATTATCTACAATCGTGTGCAACAAGTTGGGTAGTTTGAATAGAAACTTTCTTTGGGGAGGAGGGACGAACTACTCCTATAAACACCTCGTCAACTGGAGCTCGGTATACAAATCTAAAGCGGCTGGATATCTCGGGGTGATGGGGGCTGGGGCGTTGGGCCCTGAGGCACTGGGGACTATTTTTTTCTTTGATTTCAAATAATTTCGAAATTAAAATTTTATTGATTCATATTTATTATGATTATCCATATTTTTGGATAATTTATAAATTTTAATGATTAAATTTATTATTATATACATTATTATTAATTGTCATGGTATATTTTTCTTGGAAAGGGATGCGTTATGTAACTTTCAGTTAAATAAGGAGAACATTTTTAACCTTTCATAAGTGTTGGAATCTACATCAATAATCGTAACCGTAAATTCTTTTTCTTTTTTCATTTTTCTAAATACAAGTCAATCACTTTCTACTACATCTTTTTCCCTTCAATATTAATCATCCAGTATTGAGAAATACGTGGTAACTACTCATAATTAGATATTTATATGGTACGTACTTCATCGTCTCTCCCCTAATAAAAATTAAAAAGGATTGCAATTTAACATCTGAAAGTTTGGAACAGAGAAAATCCGATGAAGCAGAAATTGAGTTATTGCGAGAAGAATATCATCAAAGGGTTTCGACCCTTGAAAGGAAGGTATGTTCCGGACGTTCATCACCTCTTCTATTTTCTTTCATTCCTGTCTTAGTCTCCTTGTGATATTGTTGCCGAGAAATTTTAGAACCTTTTGTAGAAACTTGAATTACTTTTTATTAGTGATGATTAAACTTGTTGCTCCTTAATGAGTGAACGGAATGGACTGACACCAATAGCATATCCTTTACAATGTAGGAAGACCTTCTCCGAGGCTTCACGTGAGGACTTAGCATTATTCCATTACATAAAACCTTTGCCCCCTGAAATTTAAATCTAGGATCTTCCTGTTTGAAGCCTCGTATATTATTATTGGGACGTTTCCCTTTGGACTAAATAAAATATTTTTAGATGCTATGCATGCTTTTCTAGTTCTAGTATGTGGTTTTGCCTCAGCATTCACCAAGAAATCTCTTAAAAAGTTTGCTTCCTGCCTGCAGCACCATTGCGCTCTAGGCCGCAACACTGATTCCACAAAAACTTTATTTATATTTTGTAGTGTTTCTAACCATGTTAGAACTTTTTTTTTTTTGAAAAGGAAGAATCTTATTCATAAGAATGAACACATTGCTAGGGGCCTCATTAAAAAAACCTCCCTAAGCCTAATTGGAGGAAAAAGGGTGCATCCTAAGCAATGACACAAGTCTCGGGCAAAGTAGACAAAACAGGGGAAAATCATCCAAAATACAACCAAGAAATCCAAAACTCAAAAGCAGAAAACTTAAAACCCCACAACACGTGAAAGCACAGAAAACAAAACAGAACAACAAACTACTACTCCAGAACCAAAACAAGAAAGGTGCTGCCCCAATATCCTATCCCTCTCCAGCAGACCTAGAACCTCGCTCAGAAGCTGGCTATCCACCCGACAATGAACAACCTCAATCACCGGTCAACGTTAATCATTGTTTACCACTACCTGTGTATTAACTCTACCTACAGCCAGTTTAGCCAGCTGGTCAGCGGATGTAGGTTCCCAGTTAAGACCAACAAACAACCTCAATCACCATGTTAGAACTTTATAAATCTATAATTTTGTTGTGACATAGGTTCCCAGTTAAGACCGACACTTCTGAATTGTCTTAATTTCTTGGTTGCGAATCAAAAAGAGTCTTTGTTGTCTATTAGGTTAACCGGTATTATTGACTACATGTATGAGGTTAAGTACAATATAAGGTTATTACATGCATTGATCTCTAGTTGTCAGTGATATATTTCCTCTCTTTATCATTCTCATACCGTCATCAATGATGTCATGATATCATGCTTGAAGTCCCTTATTATAGTTCAAAGGTTGCCCCAAAAATAGTTTGCCTTATTTTAACTGTACCAGAACTATCATGGCTTTTATGAAGTTTCTTGTATGAGATTTGGTCCATCTAAGTTTCAGTTAATTGAAATTGGTGTCAACGTGTTCTATGCTTTAGTAGCAATTGATGATAACTGGACAGATACTCTAGGAAAAGGTTGTCCTTTTAAGCTAAATATGTTCTTTAAGTGCGGTTGTCTCTTTGTGTGTGTGTTTTCCAGGTTTATTCCCTTACTAAGGAAAGGGATACTCTTCGAAAAGAGCATAACAAAAAAAGTGACGCTGCTGCTCTGTTAAAGGAAAAAAATGAAATAATTAAACAAGTAATGGCTGAAGGTGAGTTCTGAAAACTCCTATTTATGTTTGATGCTCTATTCCTTGTTCACAATCATATAATTTTCCTCTCTTAGATCTATTGGAACTTGTTGCATAGTCCCTGTGCCATTTCTTTGCATTGAAGTTTCTGCAAAAAGAGAGGCCACCTATAATGGAGAGTATATGAACACACTTCACTATTAAGAAATAACTCTAGTAGGATTATCGGTCAATGAAATTTTTAAAGGAGGATTATATGTGCTGGGTTTATGTTCTATGTATAGAGAATTCTTGAAAGGGAATGGATGAAGTTATTTATATGTTTACGTTAAACCCTTTGCCCACCTAACCTTTACAGGGAGCTTATAATTTTCCATGTATGGGATTTAAGTCAAAATGGTATGCTTGAGTGCATCTATTTTTGTGTCTGGTGATTCTTGCGTAAATTTGATCTCCTTGTTCTTATGCTTTCTTATTACAAGATATTTTATCCTCTCGGGTGAAGAGCTTTCAAAGAAGCAGGCTACTCAAGAAGCTCTTATCAGGAAATTAAGGGCTCAGGTTTGGCAATTGATTTTCTATATTTCTGGCACTCTTCTTCCTTTCTCTTCACTTTCTTATTTTTATTTTTCCATCCATTTTGTCATACTAGATTAGAGAGATCGAAGAGGAGAAGAAAGGTTTGACTACAAAGCTTCAGGCAAGTGCATGCCTTGAAATTGGGAAGTTCTCTTATTTTTCTGGATTCAAGATATTAAACTCTATGCCATGTTCGATTTTTAACCTCCCATGAACAAAACAATATCTTTCATGTTAATTGGTTTTTCCATAGTAATAACTTGTATTCTTATGTGATGTATTTGCTTACTATAATTGTGAAAACTTCTTGGAATAGGCCTTCATTATTCTGTAATTGCACTTCTTTCATTTGGGGATACTTGGTTTCAAACGTGAGATTTTTGGTTTAATAGACTGAACTTCATAGAATTGGAAGATGCTATTGGTTTTTTTAGACCTTGTCTTCAGTTAGCCTTGTACTTGGAATGCCATGCCGTTGGTGCTGCTTTACTGGTTTTTGTTTATTCACCGATCAAAACTTAAAAAAGGAAAGGGACTAGAATAAAAAGAAACATTGTTATGTATTACTAATGTTTCCTTTTTACTTCATTTTGTCTCGGTGATCTGCACGAATTAAAAATATTACTCAATTCCCTTAAGACCTGGGAGGAAGTGGAAATCTCCTAATAAGTTCTAGACCTTGGGATATTTACTCTTGATTATTATATAATTTTTGGGCCTAATTTTGTCGAAGAATTCCGTTGTTCCTTTCAATTGAAAAGAAATAGTTCTGTTACTTACAAATAAGTTCTTTCAACTTGTTGATAGTTTATGCTCCTTGTTCTGCTTTCAGGCTGAAGAGAAAGGGTAGAGAGCATCAAGAAGGACAAGACAGCTACAGAGAAGTTGCTGCAGGAAACAATTGAAAAACACCAAGTTGAACTTGCAGCTCAGAAGGACTTCTATACAAATGCTTTGAATTCAGCAAGGGAGGCTGAAGTACTGGCTGAGGCACGTGCGAACAATGAAGCCAGAACTGAATTGGAGAGTCGTCTAAGAGAGGCCGAAGAACGTGAATACATGCTAGTACAGACATTTGAAGAATTGAGGCAAACCTTAAGCAGAAAGGAGCAACAGGTTTTTCATTGTATTAATTTTCTTATGCTATCATGCTAATAAATAAAAAAAAGTATGATTTATTGTTGTTTTCTGTCCATGTAGGCAGTATTTAGAGAAGACATGTTTTGCAGGGACATTGAAGATCTTCAAAAGCGTTATCAAGTACGCTGATGTTATGCTGACTGTAGAAAGATATTAAATCTTTCCTTGATACCTTTTCTTTTGGATATTTGTTTACAGTAGTTTACAACTTTAATTTTGTTTTCTAGGCAAGTGAGCTTCAGTGTGAGGAGTTGATTACACAAGTACCTGAGTCTACAATACCACTTTTAAGGCAGATTGAAGCCATGCAGGTGAAATATGTTGTTCTAATGCATTCTTAACGAGCTTTAAGGACTATGGTCTCAATTGTTTGTTTTTAAAATGTTTCTTTTTATATTGTTTTTTGCTCTATTTTTTATAGGAAACAACCTCCAGAAAAGCAGAAGCTTGGGCTGCTGTGGAGAGATCTCTAAACTCTCGCCTCCAGGTGTTTAGAATGTTATGGTATGTTATGATATCACATGTGAAATTGTATATTCTCATGATTATCTATTCTATCAAGTTTGCAGGAAGCAGAGGCGAAAGCAGCAGCTGCAGAAGAGAAGAGCAATCTGTAAACGAACGCTTATCTCAAACCTTATCACGAATAAATGTTCTTGAAGCTCAGGTTCTACTTCTGTAGCAGATATACATGGAAACATTTCTGGAGATCAGCTCAACTTTTTCCTTGCTGCAGATTTCATGTCTAAGAGCAGAACAAACACAACTAAGCAGGTCTCTTGATAAAGAGAGACAGAGAGCTGCTGAAAATAGACAGGAATACCTAGCAGCAAAGGAGGAAGCTGACACACAAGAAGGTCGGGCAAACCAGCTTGAGGAAGAAATTAGGGAACTAAGACGAAAACATAAACAAGAGTTACACGACGCTCTTGTGCACCGAGAACTTCTGCAACAGGTTTTGCTTTAGATCCATTAGCGTATTCATTCCCTTTGCTTGGGAGTTGACCAAGTGTGCCATTTCCATTCATATTGAGTTGCTTTCTCGAATTCTTTTTCCTTTCAACTCTGGTGATAAGAAAGAATATCATCTACTATTTTGCACATGATTGCAAATATCAAAAAGGACATATATGGTTTAGCATTAGGAAACTTTAAGTTCAATTTATCTGCTGATGTTACATGATGCCTTCCTTGAGAGTTTATTACTCCTATATGACCACAGGAACCATTTTAACTGTTGCTACTGAGATTTGATATTTCGGTTCTGTTTATGGAAGGATGCCTTGAATTTTGTTACAGGAAGTAGAAAGGGAGAAAGCTGCTCGAGTAGACTTGGAAAGGACAGTGCGTGTGCAGTCTACAGAGCAAGCTCCAATTGCAAGGCATAATTCCACCTCGGAGAATGGTATGGTGCTTTCTGTTACGATGTAGTTGATCTTTTATGATCTTCTGTGCTTATTGTGTGACTCTGCTGCAGGAAGCTTGTCTAGGAAGCTCACTACTGCTAGCAGCATAGAAAGCATGGAGGAGGGCTATTTTCTGCAAGCATCTTTGGACTCATCTGATGCTTTCTCTGAAAAAAAGAAAGATTGCAGAGGCAACAGTAAGTCCACCGTACATTAAGAGCATGACACCAAGCGCTTTTGAATCTGCCTTTCGTCAAAAGGAGGGTGAACTTGCATCCTACATGTCTCGTTTGGTATGAATTATCATTTGAGCTCCTGAATTTAAATATCTGTCACTAAATGTTCATTGTCCTCGGTATAGAATATTTCCTGATTTTAGGTGTGGGTTTTATCTTGTTTACTATTTAAATAGTTTATATCTGCTGGCTTTGCTTGTCTTTACTCCAGAGTTCCTTGGAGTCTATCCGTGACTCTCTCTATCTGAGGAGTTAGTCAAAATGACTGCGGAGGTGAGTTATTTACTTTCTAGTTAAAATATGTTAGGTTTTATTTTTGTCAATTCATTGCCTTTAACCTTGTTTACATTTTCTTAGTGTGAAAAGCTGAAGGCAGAGGCTGCCAGGAATCCGAGCAGAACTAGAAGCCTTGAGGCGGAGACACACTGCTGCTCTGGAGCTAATGGGTGAACGAGATGAGGAGGTACGTGCCTCTTTTCATCTGGATTCTTTCTCATTGATGGATAACAAAATTTCATATTCAAGGATGAGTGATGAAGCTTATAGATGTTGTTTTCATGTACTGGTATCATAAGTATAATAAGGTGGAGAGGCAGTATGAGCTATGCTGAACTAAATAACTAAATCTTACGGTGAAAATGGATTTTCAGAGAAACAAGAAAATTTTGAATATCCCGCCTCTCATTGAATTTCTGTATTTCTGACTCAATTCTGGTTGTGAAAATATTATATGATACTGTTGTCATCCATGGCGTACTTGGCTGCATCATCTTTCCAGTTGGAGGAACTCCGTGCTGATATTGTAGACTTGAAGGAAATGTACCGAGAGCAAGTCAACCTGCTTGTGAATAAGGTGCTTGTTTTCTTTGGTTTTTTTTTCAAAAGTTTGTATCATCATTTCCTTTTCCTTTTAACTGCATTTATTATAAGTAAGCATTACTATTTTTATTTATTCTGCTGATTCTACATGCTATGCTAAAAGCTACGTCGCTGTGCTTGACAGATCCAAAGAGTCACTTCCTCGGTCGGAAACTCATGAGGAAACTCTCTATTTTTTTTTTTGGGGGTGATATTCCAAGATATTATGTGCATGGTACAGTTAAAGTAGATGTAGTTAATGCCGCGGCTATTCAATTTTTTCCCATACATTGAAGATTGCTTCATGCAAAAGTTTGATTCCCGAGAGATTGAGGGAGCACATGTCCTTGCCAAACCCTACAATGTATTCTAATTTGATGTATAGAACAATTCTTAATGTGACAAATTTGTTTTACCTATTTTTTTATATCATAATGAAAAGGATATTAATTATATGTGCACACACACGAATATTCTGTTTATATTCATTATCATAATATATATTTTACTATGCATTCACTCTCTGTTGTAGTATACTAGATCGTAGAAGTATTCTGAGTCTTCAAATAAAAGGCAGTAATATTTTTCAAGAGAATATCTCAATATACGTCCACAAATGCTTGTTTTACGTAAGGGTAAGTGAATTTTTTAAACTTGATGTCAAAAAAAAAATTTGACTCGACTCATAATTTTATAAATTCAACTTAAAATACAAATAACTCAAAATTTTTAATAATTACTGGATTGATTTTCAAATTTAAGTTAAAATCCTTCACTTTAAATGGTATATGTATATCATATATGAAAAAAACATAAAATATATATATATATATATATATTGTATATGGTCATTGAAATCAATAGGCCATGGCCCCCTATGCTCAAAAAGGATAAATTACTTATTAAGTAACTCATTTATTATTTAGTTTCTGTTTTGATCACTCATATTTTATTTATTTTAAATCACACTTAATGTTACATTTTGGTTATGTTTTGGTCTCTCATCTTTAAAAAAAAATTAGCGGTGATGTTGATGTATTATCATAAGATAGTGCTATACCATGATTGGAAAATAATTCAGAAAAATGTCATGTTAACATTATTATTTTTTTAACGGTAGGTTGACATTATTATTTTTTTAACGGTAGGTGATCAAAATATATATATGAATTTTTTAAATAAAATTTTTATTACATTAATATTGGCTCGACCTATAAAATTTTTCTGGATTCACCACTGATCATAGCATTATAAATATTTATAATTAAATTTAAACATAAACTCGACTCTACTCAACTCAACTCAACTCAAGTTTCATAAACTTGATAAAACTCGTCAATTTAAATAATTCAAATTTTTGTAATTTAATTCGATTCAATCTAACGTTGACCCTTATTTTTATACGTACAGTGGTAAGATAAAAAGGATAGAAGTTGGTGTAAATTTTGCGATTTATCCTTTTATATTATATAGGGTAAGCTACACAGTTGGTTACTAATATTAGGGTAAGTTTTTGTTTTCCTCACTGAAGTTTTAAAAGTTACAAATTGATCACTAACGTTATCGATTGGTTACAAATCGGTCACTCGACGTTAACAGTCGTTAACACACATGACGAAAAATACAGCTGGCGTGTTAACTGCTTACATGAATTAAGTTAATTGGGTTGACTACCACGTTGGAGACCCAAAAAGCCTAACAAATGGTCACTAATGTGATCGATTTGTAACAAATTAGTCATTAATATTATCGATTTGTAACAAATTAATCACTAGATGTTAATAGCCGTTAGTTAACTCAAGATAATCTGACATGGCAGTTAGAAAAACTAATTTAGTGGTTTTTTAATAGTATTGACCATATTTTGACTGGATCTTTGACTCACTTTTAATTAAAAAAATTCTAAAATAACCGTAATCTCAGTTTCGTTATTACCGTTGATCTGTTCTTTTTCTTTCTCCCATTCAAGCCTTTCCATTTTTTCTCTCGAGTCAAATCCACTTTGCGTGGTTGAGCACATGGATGATATGCTTTCATTCGTTTCCTAAGTTCCTTAAAAGACCTAACAAAAGGCGACACCCGTAATTCGAAGTTCACTCTAACGTTTCGCACTTCCATGGCCTCGTCGCTTGTAGCCGGTGTAGCCACCTATCCCTACTTGTTGCCGGTGTAGCATATCCATACCTGGATAATAAAGATCAGGATAGCGCTACATGTTCTGTTTGAATGGAGTGCCCTCACAATGCTGTTCTTCTTCTTTGTTTATCCCATTACAGGGTTGTCATCCCTAAATGTGTGGAACTAGCTTTCGATACTCGAACTACCTTGACAAGTACAAGAAGTTCCACAGTAAAGTAGTCTCATCCAATTGTGAAGAATCATTTCTTAGTTCTATTGATGATTGAGTTCTGGCAGCCGGTTTCAGTTGGCCTCTTGAAAATTGAAATTACTAACTTTTATGTCCACTTTGTACGAGTCAAGTGAAAGGATGGATTGTGGTGGAACCTGCTACGGAATATTTAAATTCTAAAAAGATAAGTTGTATGCAGAATGACTGCACTTTTATTAGGTCTTTTAAGGAACTTAAGAAAAGCATGAAAGCATATCATCCATGTGCTCAACCACGCAAACTGGATCTGACCCTCGAAAAAAAATGAAATGGCTTGAAAGGGAGCTGGAGAAAGAGCATATCAACGATAATAACGAAACTGTGATTAAACGGTTATTTCATAAAAAGAATTTATTAAAAGTGAGTCAAAGATCCGGTCAAAATATGGCCAATACTAATAGAAAAGCACCAAATTAGCTTTTCTAACTGACATGCTAGATTATCGTGAGTTAACTAATGTCTATCAACGGCGAGTGACTAATTTGTTACAAATCGATAATATTAATGACTAATTTGTTACGAATCGATAACATTAATGATCATTGTTAGGCTTCTGGGTCTCCAACGTGGTAGTCAACTCAATCCATGTAAGCAGTTAAAACGCCAGCTATGTTTTCCGTCACGCGTGTTAACGGCTATTAACGTCGAGTGACCGGTTTGTAACCAACGATAACGTTAGTGACTTATTTATAACTTTTTAAAATTCAATTGGGGAAATAAAACTTATCCAAACATTAATGAGCAGCTGTATAGTTTACCCTATTATATTTTGCTAAACGATTAAAATGTACGTGACAGCTTATGATCTGTTCATGGCAACTTCTCCATCAAGAAGCTTCGAAGTTCGAAGAGAAAGAAACCTACCTTAAACCCCCCGTTTAAAACCCCATTTAAAAGCCAAACTTTTTATACAAATCGAACTCGCAAGCACCAAAATTGGGCATCAGTCCCTGAGTTTAACAAGCCGTTAAGGTACTTCCTGTTGTCTTCATTTCTTCTTCTTGCTATATTTGTCTTGTTTGGGTGACCCACAAAATATAGAAACTGAAAAACGTTTGAGAAATTTAATTGATGAAAATGTCAAAGACAAAGAAACCCAAGTGTTCGATTCTAACTAGAGAGTAAAAAACTTATTTTTTGACTTTAAGAAATAGGAAGTTATTCAGTTGAATAAATCGACCCCCTTTTTAAAGTAATTCTTTCTTGGATGAGTTAAACTGAATCATTCGATTATAAGAAAAAGCTTAAGAAAAATAGTGTCGATATGCTAAGTTTTATTTTTTTCCTTTTCCTCAAGAGAAGTGTTCGATAAAATGCCTCACTGACAAAAAAGAAAGGCCCGCAAATTCTGATGATGTTTTCATTTTATGGGTGATTTTGGTAGTTTGCTCAGATCGCAGTCATTTATTTTGATAATGGAAAACAAAGATGATGAAGTGAAGAAGGCACAAGTTGTAGAAGCCAGGGCAAGAAATATCAGCCACAATGTGCGTTGTACAGAATGTGGGAGTCAGTCCATTGAAGATTCACAAGCGGATATCGCAATTCTCCTCAGAAAGGTACACTACTTTATTCTCTTACAATTGATTATGTAAACAGCCAATGTATTTACTTCAGCTTTTGCAACCAAATGAAGTCACTGCTTGTTAACAAAACTTCAGTGATGATCTCATTAAATAAAATAAAAATAATTCATTCCGGCAGTTGGCGGAACAGGTTGATCAAGTTTTTGTCCATTTGATGGCATTGTTACCTGAATTGAACTATTAGTTAATGGATTAATGGCTTTCTTTTTGGCCTTATTGTCTTAATCATCTTTTTGTTAGCTTCTAATCTGTGTATAAGCAGTTCGATCACTTCTTGTTCCGTTTGTCAATGAACTTATACATGTTACGGTACTTCTAAAACTCCGAACTCTCTGCATTCCAAGAAATCTGGTGTTGTTTACTCTATAATGATTAAAACTATAGACTCTCTTTTGGATTCCAAAATCAATCATTTGCTAGCTTTCTCTTCTGAAGATATCCTTGTTCTGTTCCTTCAATTCTTAGTGTCCCGTCATATTTGTTCGTCTGTGGTTAACATAAAGAAACTTTCTAAAAGAGAACATTCCAACTAATATTTTGTTGTTGCAGTTAATTCGTGCTGAGATTCGATCTGGAAAAAGTGACAAAGAGATTTATAAAAAGCTTGAAGAGGATTATGGTGAGACGGTACTGTATGCCCCAAAGTTTGATCTGCAGACTGCAGCCTTGTGGCTATCACCGGTTAGTCCAAAATATTAGGACTTCCCATGTGATCTTTACCCGTGTTTCGTGTTTAACCTAAAATAGAAGGATTTCGGGGACAGCTTCTTGTTGCAGGTGCTGCTGCAGGGGCGTGGGCTTACAAAAAGCACAGACAAAAGAGTAATGTGCACATCATGGCTCTGGACCTTGTTAGAGGTGTTCCATTGACCCCCAAGGAAAAGGAAACTATGCTAGACTTGCTCACGCCTCCTCCACAAGGTGTCACTCCTTCCTCCTTGTGGAGCCGGTTGCGAGGTCGGTGATGTTCTTTAATTTTCCGACTCAAGTTTCTTTTGATGGCGAATAATGTACATACTGATGAGTCTCTTGGTTGATTCCGAAAATTACTTTTGCATCTGTTTAAACCACATGTGTTTTACTAATTGAAGTTGGTAAACCTAACTTGTATCAAGTACATCATGTGGATCATATTTAAACTTGTGTTTATTATATTATTTTCATATTTATTAAAGTGATGAAAAAAAATATTACGTGGAGCAATCTTGAGAGGGTGAAGGTTGGGCATCAGAACATGGTAAGCAGGGGAGGATGCATATGACCCCATAGGGGGCCAAATGCATACCCATTGGCTATTATTTTGGATTAGATATTAAATATAGTTCAATATATTAAAGGAAGAAGAAAAAATAAGAAATTTTTTGCATATCTATTGTATTGAAAAAAAAGAGTATTAAAAATTTTGAATCCCCGTTTCTAAATTTCTAGATCCGCTAAGCTTATTACAGGGTCAACAAGGAACGGTTGACAATCACTTCTCTGTTGGGCATTCTGTTTCTGTTTGATACAAAAGAATAATCCTTGGTCTAAGAAGGATACCGAAAACACTATATTCTTTTGTTATTAATGAGGACTAAAATTTGATTTCACACGTATTAAAATCTTAAATATTACAATTACTTTGTAGTACGCAATTGAAATTTGAAAGTGAAATGATAATATTAGTATAATAATTAACGTAAATGAAAAAAAATATAAAAAGTCAATAGAATGGTTGTGGTTTAAATTAAATGTAAGTTGACATGTTATCTAACTGTCCGCAAAGCATTATTTTATAACAATTTTTTAATAAATAATATATGGTATTACTGGATTCCCAAAAAGTTCCGCTGCTTGCCGTTGACTCGCCCACCTCTGCCATTACTCTATTCTTAAAACAAATTTAAATAACTGAAAATCAACTCCCTAATTGTCCATAATTAGTAGAGCTGAATAAAAAAGGGAAATCAGACTACTTTGATGAACCATGTCTGAAACTCAAGCAGACAAGAAGCTGATCAAAGACTGTTAGTCTTCTATTTTTTTTTTCTTATTTGAATCTCTGGATTCGTTGGTTTTGTTCCAAGTGTTGAGATCATATCAGATCAATTCAGGTAAGCTTCATCTGTTAAACAAAATCAATTGCTGCAGATAATGAATTTCGATTTTTCTTCAGTTCGGGGCTGATTATGAAATGTCGAGTTAAATTTACCATAAATTTTCTTCTTTTAAAGAGCTTGTTAAATTTGTTGATCACTTGGTGAATTTGTTTAACATGTGTGAAGTCAAACGTGGATGGAGGGGGGAACGTTGGCGCAGATTTCCCGGGAACGGGTTCAGGATGCTTTGACGAAAGGGACGGCCAGGTTGGAGCTAGAGAATCGAGCTGCTCAAGGATTGATAATTGATCATCTCCAAAAGGGATTCATGCGCTTTACTTTCGTCATACCGCCTTCTGCATCAGTTAGAATTCTGTTCTTTCTTCTTATTCAAACCTTAAACATTATTTATGTATACCGTGTGTGATCATCTTTTGATAAATTAAATAATGATAATAGGATGCAAATGGTAACTGGCAAGTGGGTGCAATGGCAACGATCATCGACCTTATTGCATCAATGGTCATATTCACTGAAACTGGAACAGCTCGAGGCCAAGTCACTATGGATTACAACATTTCATGTTATTCAGCAGCTAAAACTCAGGTATTTTTATATGTATCTATTAAAAAAACCTATTATTTCCATTTACATAAATGATACATGAACCTTTTCAATTATTCACCATCGTATATGTAAAAATTGCAGGAAGAAGTAGAGATAGATGCAAAAGTTATAGGGAACAAGGGAAAGCTTACCTCAGTGGCAGTGGAGGTCAGAAGGAAATACGACGGAGAGTTAATTGCTGCTGCCAAGCAGTGGACTGCTTTTAACCAATTTAAGGCATCATGGACCGTCCCACGTACCAAACTTTAACATCTATGTTATTTACCTTATTTTCTCCATTTGGGATACATATATAAAAAGGAATAAATTCTAAAATATTTGTATTAACTATCATCTACATTAGATATTTGTATTAACTATCATCTACATTAGATATTTGTATTAATAAATGTTGGATGCAATGGTAAGATAAGTCTAATCGCGAAAGAGAGAGATCAAATTTTAAATTTAGAGACATTTTTTCCCTTAACTTTGCCCTTCAATTTTGTTTTCCGTCGTTCCTGGCTACTCATATACAAGAAAACCAAATGAATTTCTGAACCAAGTGAATTCAACTTACTGACTCAACTTGATCATTCCCCCCCCCCCCCTTTTTTGTAATCTTTCTGGAAAAGAAAACGATTACAATAATTTTATTGAAGATGGATTGAGATACAGGAAAATTCTTTAATTTTCTTGATTCTCCAATCTTTTGTAGTTCCTTCATCTCCAATTCTAATTAGTTTCAAGTTCATTCCTCCTCTGAAATATACCCTTCATCTGCAACCTCTGTGGATGATCCATAGGATCTTATACAAAAGATATAATAGAACACATTGACAAGACTCAACCCTGTAAGAAGCAAATAGTAATAGTCGAAATGAACCTCGTTGAGGTTATCAACGACCCAATTAGTTTTCTTGTTTCTTCAAGTAGTCTCGTTCACAATAGAGCTCAACAAATTTGCACTGCCATTGACAGGAAGAACAAGGAGTTCCCGATGCTTGACATGGTTTACGGGAACTCCCGATGATAAAACTCAAATTGCCCCAGTGTAATCAACGCCAAGGCTTTACTCATCACGGTAAACCGTGGGAGAAGCCACAACATTGACATATTCACCGGTGCATTAGGCATCTTCGCATGCCCCACGATGATTACTTTGCTTAATCAGATTTCTCAACAATTGCTGTGAGTCCCATGGCTATTACAGAGAGGAATAAATCGAGTCCCATCCTAGTGTTGACACTGATACATAGTTGTTTTCCCTTGATCTTTTATGCTATCGGGATTATCACACGCTCGTAACTCGTAAACAACAGCCCAAAGCACGGAATGTTGAAAGTCAAATATGGTGACAGCTTAAATTGACAAATTAAGCTAAGATTTTGGTGGTGGCTTTCGGTGCATTAATGCACCGAAATTATACAGCTTGAAAATATTTTTTTTGTAATGGTATAATCAATTTTAGTCATTATAATTTAGGGTATTTATAAATTAGTCCTTAAGCTTCAACTATAAATATTCTAGTTCATTTAGCTTTAAAACTATCCCAAATCATTCTAGCTTTCTCCCAATACTAGAAAATTTAGAGAGTTTCTTGAGAGTTGTTTTCTCCTTTTTATCAAGAGAGAATTATCATTGTTTTCTCCTTGGTAGATCGAGAGAAGTTGTAATTCCTATTTTCTCATAGTGAAATTCTTCTACCGTTGCCCGTGGTTTTTACCCTATATTATTTAGGGGTTTTCTACGTAAATTTTGTGTCTCTTTTATCTTCATTTTTTATTTTCTCAAATTATCAGTTGCGTTTTTACTCTATCCGATAGTCGTCTTCCGCAACAATTGGTATACGAGCCAGATTTGAGTGTGTAATATTTGCTTATTGTCTTTGTGGTTGCCACCAAAAGGTGAATCCTCCAACATAAGAAAGTAAGAAGGTATTACCCATTCTTTGAAGGTTCCAGAGAACTATTCACGATAGTGAAATAGTGGGAGCTATACGTAATAGAAGCTATGGCAACGAAATTTGATATTGAAAAATTCAATGGGAGAAATTTCTCATTGTGAAAATTGAAGATGAAGGCCATCCTGAGGAAAGACGGTTGTCTAGCAGCTATCAGTGAAAGGCCGGTGGATTTCATAGATGACAGCAAATGGATCGAAATGGATGGGAATGCTATGACAAACTTTCATCTAGCATTAGCAGATGAAGTATTATCAAACATCGAGGAGAAGAAAACCACTAAGGAGATATGGGATCATCTCACCAAATTGTACGAGGCCACATTGTTACGCAATAAAATTTTCCTTAAGAGGAAATTGTACACTCTCTGTATGCCAAAATCTACTTCAGTGACGGAGCATTTAAATACACTGAACACTTTATTTTCTCAGCTTACATTTTTAAGCTGTAAAATAGGAGAACAAGAACGTGTTGAACTTCTACTTCAATGTCTACCGAATTCGTATGATCAACTCGTCATCAACTTGACAAATAGTAATGTCACCAGTCTAGTCTTTGATGATGTTGCAACTGCTATTCTATAAGAAGAAAATCGGCGCAAGAACAAGGAAGACAGACAAGTAAATCTGCAACAAGCAGAAGAGTTGACAACGATGAGAGGGAGATCAACAGAACATGGCCAAAGTAGCAGTCACAAATATGGTAGATCGAAGTCAAGAAGAATTTTTTTTTAAAGTGCTATAACTGTGGAAAGAAGGGTCACTTGAAGAAGGACTGTTGGAGTCTAAATAAAAACTCCAATCCACAAGGCAATACCGCAAACACTTCAGATGATGGAGATGCTCTATGTTGTGAATAGTCAACCACCGTGGAAGGCAGAAAAAGATTTGCAGATATATGGCTCATTGATTCGGGAGCAACATATCACATGACCTCAAGAAGAGAATGATTCCATCATTATGAACCTGTCTCAGGAGGATCTCTGTATAGTTGCAATGATAATGCCTTAGAGATCGTTGGTATGAGAACCATCAAATTGAAGATGTATGATGGAACAATCAAAGTTGTTCGAGATGTGCGGCACGTGAAAGGCCTGAAGAAAAATTTATTATCCTACGGATTGTTGGATAATAACGCAAGCAAGATTGAAACACGAAAAAGAATCATGAAGGTGTTCCGTAGAGCGCTTGTGGTGATGAAAGGCGAAAATATAGCAGCAAACTTGTACATGCTGAAGGGAGAGACTTTGCTAGAAGCAAAAGCAACTGTTGCCTCATGTAGTTCAGATTCTGCAATGATATGGCATCAAAAACTTGGACACATGTCAGAACAAGGAATGAAAGTCCTTGTGGAGCAAAAGTTACTTCCAGTCTTAACAAATGTATCACTTACTTTGTGTGAGCATTGCATAACAAGTAAGCAGCACCGGTTGAAATTCAACACATCAAATTCTAGAGGCAAAGGTTTTCTAGAATTGGTTCACTCTGACGTATGGCAAGCACCAGTTACATCCCTAGGCAAAGAAAAATATTTTGTCTCATTTATTGATGACTACTCTGGAAGATGTTGGGTGTACCCTATTAAGAAGAAGTCAAACTTGTTTTCAACTTTCAAAAACTTCAAAGCGCGGGTGGAACTTGATTCTGGAAATAAGATCAAGTGTTTCAGAACAGATAATGGAGGAGAATACACAAGAAAATAATTTGATGACTTTTGCAGGAAAGAATGCATCAAAAGATAATTCACAGTGGTGAACACTCCTCAACAAAATGGAGTGACAGAGCGGATGAATAGAACCTTGTTAGAAAGAAAAGAGCAATGTTAAGGAATGCAGGCCTAGAAAAATCATTATGGGCAGAAGCAGTCAATACCGCCTGTTATTTGGTGAATCGAGCTCCATCAACTGCAATAGAGCTGAAGATACCAATGGAGATGTGGACTGATAAACCAGCTGATTATTCAAACCTCCATGTATTTGGAAGTATTGTGTGCGTGATGTACAACTCCCAAGAAATTTCAAAGCTAGATCCAAAATCCAGGAAATGCAAATTCTTGGAGTAAAGGGGTATCTCTTGTGGGATCCCACTGCCCTTAAAGTGATCATAAGCAGGGATGTTATCTTTATAGAAGATAAACTACAAAGAAAAGAAGACGATGATAGCGCTGAAAAGTTAAAGACTACACATATACATGTGGAAAAGGAGGTTGAACAAGGATATTCTTCTGAAGCAGAACCATCACATGATGAACAAGAACCAGAGATTTCTGAAGCTCCAACAACTCGTCAATCAGATCGTGTGAGAAGACGTCCCAATTGGCACTCAGATTATGTTATAGAAGGAAATATTGCATACTGCCTTTTAACAGAGGATGATGAGCCATCAACATACGATGAGGCAATAAACAACTCAGATGCTTCATTATGGATGATGGAGATGCAAAAAGAAATTGAAGCCCTTCATAAAAATAATACATGAGACCTTGTGTCACTACCACAAGGAAGGAAGCCAATTGGTAACAAATGGGTCTTCAAAATCAAGAGAAATGGTGATGATCAAGTGGAGAGGTATCGTACAGGACTAGTGGTCAAAGGATATGCTCAAAAAGAAGGTATTGATTTCAATGAAATCTTTTCTCCTGTGGTTCGACTAATAACAGTTCGAGTAATTTTGGGAATGTGTGCTAAACTGAACTTACATATAGAGTAGCTAGATGTTAAAACAACTTTTCTTCATGGAAATCTTGAAGAAGAGATTTAAATGCTCTAGCCTGAAGGTTTTGAAGAAGACGAAAAGAAGAACTTGGTTTATAGGTTGAACAAATCTCTGTACGGTCTAAAGCAGGCGTCGAGGTGTTGGTATAAGAGATTTGATTCCTTCATTATATGCCTTAGATACAACAGACTTAATGCAAACCCTTGTGCTTATTTCAAGAGATCTGGTGATAACGATTTTGTTATATTGTTGTTGTATGTGGATGACATATTGGTTGCAGGACCCAACAAAGATCATATTGAATAATTGAAGACACAACTGGCTAAGGAATTTGAAATGAAGGACTTGGTATCAGCAAACAAGATTCTATGGATGCAAATTCACCGAGACATAAGTAATAGGAAGATTTGACTTTCACAAAAGAATTACTTGAAGAAGATCTTGTCACGATTCAGCATGCAAGATTGTAAGCCAATATCTACCCATCTTCCTATTAACTTCAAATTATCCTCCAGTATGAGTCCTAGCAGTGAAGAATAGATGATGGAGATGTCTCGAGTGTCGTATGCATCGGCAGTGTGAAGTTTAATGTTCGCTATGATATGCACAAGACCAAACATTGCACAAGTAGTGAGAGTGGTTA